CAAAGAAGCAACTGGCACCCAGCACACTCACTGTAACTGGCAGCTGGAAACTGCTCCCCTCCCCTGATGCAGACAGAGGCTGGATGAAAGGTCCATATACTTTAGCTGAGCAAATTCTGCTCTTTTCCATTGCTGAGATGGAGACACATCATTATCAAAACTGGTGGCGGGCTTATTTGTTTGTTTCCATTTGGGTAAGTTTTCACTAACCTTACACTCCTTGTTGGTGTGTGTTTGTATGTATTTCCATCCTGGCAGCCAAAGAGTTTGTACCAATCCAGTGAGGTTTGGATAAAGAATTTAAGTAAAAACAAAAATGGTAGTTTTTGACTGAAGACCCAGACCTCCTTCCCCCACAGCTAGCTATGGCTTCCCTCTAGTGGCATTATAGAGTGTTTTTGATTACATATGGGTACATTCTGTGCTTTAAACAGAAAAATGTTGTTGAGACATGTCTTCAGTAAAGTCCATCTAATTACTAGCAATCAAATTGCAATCTGATGTTGTCTTTAGGCAGGAAACAAAGAGAAGGGTGGAAAACACAAATCAATTTGCCATTAAACCTGGGGCCCCCAGTGACCAGCCCAGCAAGAGCATTTGTGCAACCTTTACCAGCTACTTCAAACCACTTCAGAAAAAGCTGAGCAGAGTCGGCTCACAGGAACAACTAGCAGCCCACTGCACCCTACAGTTGCTGTCTTGCAACATTCCCTGATAAAGGGACATAAGATACAACAATCACAGAATCACAGCATGTTAGAGGTTGGAAGGGACCTCTGGAGATCATAGAGTCCAACCCCCCCTGCTAGAGCAGGTTGACCTAGAGCAGGATGCACAGGAGCGCATCCAGGCAGGTTTTGAACCACTCTGGGCATCCTGTTCCAGTTTTCTGCCACCCTTGAAGTAAAGAAGCTTCTCCTCGTGTTCAGATGGAACTTCCACTGAAAAGAGTGGCCCCATCCTCTTGGCATCTGCCCTTCAGGTGTTTGTAAGCACTGATAGGACGCCATCAGTCTTCTCCAGGCTGAGTAACTCCAGGTCTCAGCTTTTTTCCTAAGAGAGATGCTCCAGTTCCCTAATCATCTTCACAGCCCTTCACTGGACTCTCTCCAGTAGTTCCTTCTCTTTTTTGCACTGGGGAGCCCAGAACTGGACATGGTACTCCGAATGTGGCCTCACCAGGGTAGTATTGTAATATCTATTTGATGTTAACAAACAGATCTATTTTAACATCTATTTGATGAGAGTGTGAGTTTTTGATACACTGATACCTTAACCCTGAGAGGTAGGAGACGGATGTATCTATCAACCAGTTTAGAATGTAAAAGCTAGATGTCCAAGTGCACACATGCCTGAGAGCTGATCTTTCATCCGAAATAATAGCCAGTAGGAATAACATTATTTTAGGGGGGAGGGTGCTGGGATGGGCACAGGGACGGAACAAAGAGGGAAACATGTTGAGCCCACTGAGCAAATCCCACAAAGGCATTGGGAGCCCCAGGCTGCCAGACACGAGCCTGGCAGAGCACCCATGAAGCAGTGTGCGAGCACGCACACGGGCACACAGCCACCCTGCCATTCAGGCACAGGCACACCTGCTGCTTGGCACTGCCTGGCTACCAGCTCAGTGCCCTCAGCCCAGTGTCCTCAGCACAGGTATGGGGTGAGGCTGCTCTGCCATCATCTTCCTCACCCCTCTTCCTCCCTCTCACACCTTGGAACAAGGCTTCCAGGCAACCAAGTCTGAAGCAACAGTGTGGCTGTGCCCTTGTCGCACAGCCCAGCTGCCCTACTCCTGAGCAGTGTGAGCTGAGACACCACCAGCAGCTGTTAAGCAGCTGTCAGGGCAAGATGCATTTGGTGCAACACCATCCCTATGCCCACACCAGCAAGTCCTGCTTACAAGTTGTACAAAATTGGCTCCAAAATTATTTCCTGAAAAGAAGAATTAACAAAGCTTGGCTTTTCAGTAAATTTGTGCTGTGTGGGTAGGAGCTCTGGTGTTCAGAAAGACATCAACTGAAGTTGCCCCACATGTCCCATGGGGCAACAGAAGCTGATCTTCCGTCCACAGAAGCCTCCTATGAATTACTGTGTTTCAGCCACTTTTCTCTCCATACTCTACCACTTTTCCTTCCATACTCTCAGGTCACTCTCTAAAGTTCAAATCCCTTATCATTTTGCAAGCATTATCCTCTGACATCTGCCATTACACTTCTTATATCTGGAGTTTCCAATACATTTGGATGTCAGCTGGAAAATAAATGGTGCGTACAACACGGGAGAGCACAGACATGTGGTACTGCTCTAAACCTCTCTGGAGAGAAAGCACTGCTTGAGGGAAGAACTGGATCAAATTAAGCTTATTTTTCTTGTTTGCAAAGCCCATGAAGATACTTGGCAAGGGAAGGCTTGAGGGGGGAGCTTTCACTCTCCAAAGTGAATGCTTCAGTGTTGTTTTTGTTGTCTCCAGGGGGGAGAAAAAAAAAAAAAAGCGTAAGTTAGGAGGATTCATACTTTCAGTCTTTTGGGAATTCAGTAGTTTTCTGCATAAACTGTATCCCTCATAAATCCACAGTGAAAGTTTGGAAATTGATCCATTAGGATACACACGAATGTCTCCTCCCAGACAAGTGAAAGAAGCCTGGAGTAAAAGGACTACCTACTCTCTAGAGAACTCCTTCCCCCTCCAGAACAGCCCAGAACAAATAATGCATCCTGTTTAAAGAAACTCTCCTGTTCTTTCTTCGTACATGAAACTGAAAAAGCTGTACATGAACTTCATTGAAGTGCTGCAGCATTTGAGGATCCAACCCACATATCCTGAAAGGTTTAAGTAAAACTACTGTTGCTCATGTGGAAACATGAAGGTTTTACTAAGGGAGATGGAGCACTGGTGCTGGTCGCTGATAAAAGCAGTAGAGTCTCTTTCCTTGGAGACATTCAAAAGCTGTCTGGACAAATTAAAAAAAAAGTTTGGCTTGAAAAGGACCTTAAAGATCATCTAGCTCCAACCCCCCTGCATGGGCAGGGACACCTCCCACTAGACCAGGTTGCTCCAAGCCCCATCCAACCTGCCCTTGAACACTTCCAGAGAGGGAGCATCCACAGCCTCCCTGGGCAACCACCAGTGTCTCACCACCCTCACACTAAGAATTTTCTTCTAATGTTTAACCTAAATTTCCCCTCCTCCAGTTTTAATCCATTCCCCTTGTCCTCCCACTACAAGCCCTCGTAAAAAGTCCCTCCCCAGCTTTTCTGTAGGCCCCCTTCAGGTACTGGAAGGCTGTAGTGAGGGCCCTAGGTAACAGGCTCTAGGTGGCCCTGGTTAAGAAGGGCTGGACCAGATGACCTCCAGAGGTCCCTGACAACCTCAATCCTCTGTTGCGATGCTTCGTGAAAGTCCATCTCTGCCTCTCATCTGTGCAGCTCCAGGACCTGCTTATTGATGCTTATCAGTTTAGAAACTAAACCAAGAAACAGGTTGGAGCCTTCAGTCACATACTGACTGGGTGAACACTCACTGCCAAGTCTGGAAGCAGTAATACTAACACTTTTAATCCTAATTCAGTGCATTTCTCTTCACAGAATATGAGTTACTGATTCCCTTTCAGGACTGGAACTGCTAAACACCTTCGGTGTCCTAAGTGCTTGTTTTTTTAACGACCAAGGAATTTGCAGTGTAAAGGCCTGAATAATGCATATGCAACTTGGGGGTTTTGTGAATTAACTGTGTAGCCTGGGGAGAAAAACACTCAAATGGGTAATCTCTTAGATGGTACCCATAGCCACTACTCGAAAAACTTGTGCATTGCATGTTACAAAATGCAGTGCTGTTATTCACAGAATGTATATGCTCCTTCCTATCCACGTTACCCTATCTGAACTAAATCAATTACACAGTAATGCAGATAGAGCAATGGCTTTCAAAGCAGACAGAAACGTGCTTTTTCTGAACTGGGTAAGCTTGGCCATTTCAGGAACACTAACAGTAGCATCTCAGAATCCAGCATAGACCATCTACCCAGGTGTTTAGGTCTAACCTGAACTGAGTCCCCTGATTCCCTACCTAATGTGTAGGAAGGTAAATGTGACCTAGTTTCAAACAAGAGTAAAGTTCATAAAGCATTTCAAGTCTGCACTACAATAAGTGCAAGCTAACCACACTCTTTCAAGTGCAATGAGCATACCCAGCACTTGGCATACTAAGCATCAACTTAAGTGGAGTAACAGCTAAGCAACACATTTTAATGTACCATTTCCTAGTCTACACAAGATGCAGAAATACAATTTTACACTTTTATACGAAAAATATTAGTTCCCCAGCAAATCTCTATCTTGGGCTAATCAATTAATTAAATGTATTAAATGTATCTGGAATTACCAAACAAGAATCAAATTACAACAACTTTGAGACAAGCATTCAACAGAGTTATTGTTTATTACTGGCCTGTAATTCTGAAATATAAGGACTCATCCCACTACTTTTCTCCATACCTGGCCAAAGTTGCACTTTAGGATCAGACAGACCCATCTTTCTAGACCATCTTCCATGAAGAACAAAGAAGGAGGTACAGCCATAGAGGGCTGGCTAGCAGATAAAAAGAAAGTACTTTAAGACACTTTAGAAAATTGTATCACCCCTGGTCATTGTGATGTCCTCTACCGCAAAATAGTGATGCCTTTTGCAGAAAATTTATTAATGAAGTATTAATAGAGTACATTTCTAGTTCTACCAAAGGCATGTTTATTCACCAAAGAGTTGCAGCAGACTAACATTTAGTAAATTCACCTTAAAAACACCTCCAAGTAATAGCTAGTTATATCAAGTATAAGCTGGCATGTAAAAACACTCTTAAATGACAAGTGAGTCTATTTACCTTGCTTCAAGAGTTGTATTTACCTCCCCAAAAGCCAGAGAGCACACTGTGCCATAAGAACACTGTAGCTGGCTGGCCAAGAAACACTGGACATGATCACACTGCCACCAAGTATCTTCATTCCATCTGTATTTATTGAAAAAATATGTACATATTGATCAGTATGATATCAGCTGCTTCAACAGCATCTTTACATCGAAGATGAAATGAAGAACATCAGACTAGGATGGGGGAAGAGTAGCAAAATGTCTTTTTAAATGTCCTATTTTCCCCAAGATGTCATAAGCAAGGGAAGTTCTCATACTGAGTGTGCTGGAGTCCCACAGTGAGTGCGCCAGAGATCAACAGCTTTGCTGACGATAGCATCAGTGTTATCTTGAGGAATCTACAACAGATCAGGGTGAGATGCCTTGTCAGAGTACTTCACTTGGGTTCTTTTTTTTTCAAATAAAGACTTTAAATTTCCAATTAAAATTTTATCTCTTTATAAAAAATAAAACAAAACTAGAATTTCACCTCCCTGCACTAACAACCCCCCATCCCTCAGCCCTACACACACCATAGTACCTCCAGGTTTTAGAAAAAAAGCTTTTCTTTACAAAACGCTAAGACGACCACCCAGGCATCTCCCATTTCACACATCCCTAACCTGACATCAGGCAGAACTCATGCTGGCCATCCATGACCACAAATGTATTGAATCTAACCAAGATCACATTGGGATCCCACAATCCTGCTTTGATGCTCATGACTATTCATAGAAGTTCAGGGTCAGGTTCATGACTACGTCTTTACATCAACAGAAAACATAGCTTGAGTCCACAGCTTCACACTCAGACAAGTTGCCAGAAATCAAGCCTCTTAAGGAGCTTCCAGAAATATTAACCTAATTTCATCTAGACAGAAAAAAATTATTTCATATCACAAGGAATATTGTCAAAATTGTACAATCAGAGATAACACATGTATCCCAAAACCTAAAAATCTCTTTATTCTATGAAAAAAGCCTTACCTCCCTGATAGAGAAAATTATTCCTCTCATCCCTCTGCATTCTCTCTCCACCTTGATACTATTACACTATTCTCAGTCAGTAATGTAACAGTCTCTTATGGTACGCTTGCCACAGGCAAATGACTTCAAGGCTGAAATACACTTTTTATAAACCATAAAAGGTAATACAAAGCACAGCAGAGTACTTACATTTTCTAAAAACTGTGTGATCTTCTCTGCAGTATTCAGTGCTATTATCTTCATTTTAAAGGTTAATAATATCTCCAGAGCAACAAAAACAAGAATCTTGCAGGAGCCACTAATAACTTTGTCCCAAACTCTAAAAAAAAAAAAAAAAAAAAAAAAAGGTAATTGTTAAACATTATTGTAGTGCTTATGTGCTTATTTATCTGCTAGAACATTCTATGTACAATCCCCTTTTTCCATATTATTTTTCTGAATAACAGGAATGTGTTGAATTACTCCGGGCAGGGTAAATAAAAGACACTTTATCAACTCCTAAATCTGTAGAGAGCAGAGTGATGACAAGCAGCAATGTATTGATTGGTATGGTGTGTTCTTGTTTAGCAATGGAACTGTTGACAAGCTCCAATAAAAAAATCAATCTTGTTTTAATAGCCTGAACTGTGACAACTACTCTCCACCATACAGTAAAGGTGAGAATTTTTCATAGGGCAAAAAAGGAAACAAACTTTATTAGTACTCATAATAAAGACAGTCGTCAAACAGTTAAGTAGCTGAAAATTAAAAAGGTTATAATACTGGACAATAACATCTCAAGAAGTTAAATATTCCAGGTGATTGCTGCATAAGATGCAAATACAATATATCAGCACAGTATAATCCACATTGTTCAAATTAGGAACAAGGAACAACTATTAAGCCTTTCAATCCATCCCACTGTGTACAGACTCTCCCAGAATTACCTAAGCTTTCTTACCACCTGTATGAAACTGTGCCTGCACCTCACAATTTTAAGAAAACCTGAAGGGCAGGCCTCCAAAGGCTGCAAGTGCTTCAGCAACAGAACTTAGATGAATATTAACAAGGATTCACACTACTAAAACTGCCTGCAACAATTTGAATTCATCCTTCATCCAGCAGCTCTATCTCAGGTCCAATTCAACAGACTTGGGACAAAAGATTATCCAAAACCAGTGTGAAACTATCTGTCAGATGACAGCTTCTGTGGACTTGCATTACTTTTAGTTCTTGAATTTTAAGATCTTTGTCAGAAAGACTTTCTGAGGATTACTGCGCTTGCTACTTCTAGGCACTTGTTTAAACTGCCTCTGCTTCCACATAAAAACCTGAAGGACAAAGATCACATACTATCCTCCATAATCTCTGAATACAGTAACACTAGAAAATATCTTCTGAAGCCCATCTGTAAACTTGGATCTATGGCTGTGCTTCTTCCAAAGACAACTCAATTTTTATATGACCTTCTCTCTTGCCCTTCAGGCTGGAGTGCCAGGAGAACACAGCACAGGCGGAACATGAACTTTGACAGCTGAATTGAAGAGTAGGTATCACACCTTTAAACAAGGAGATGAGAACTGAGAGTCCAAGAAAGAACCATGAGGATGACTGGAGCAAGTATTCTCTGAGGAATGGATCAGCTGGGGCTGTTCAGCCTGGAGAAGGGAAGGCTTTTTTGGGGAATCTCATCAATGTCTATAAATACCTGAAGGAAGGGTGCAAAGAGGATGGAGCCAAGGCTCTTTTCAGTGCTGGCCAGAGGCAGGATGAGAGGCAGCAGGCACAAATTGAAATACAGGAGGTTCCCTCTGATCAGCAGAAACAGCAGGAAGCACTTTTTCACTGTGCAAGTGAATGAGAACTAGCACAGGTTGCCCAGAGAAGTGGTGGAGCGTCCCTCCTTGGAGACATTCAAAAGCTATCTGAGATCATATTCCTGTTCCACACCCTACATATAGGCCACCCCTCTTTATTTCTAACACATTTTCCTTCACAAATGTATCTGATTAGAATCAAAGAGCAACCCCTCATGTGTGTCATGGGCACCATAACTGTAATTATGAATGACAATACACAGAGTAGCAGACCTCAAAAACAGGAAAGAATTTTTAAAGTTCATATTAAAGCTCCTATTAATTTGAATATAAACTTACTAATACTAATAGAAAATACCCAGTATTTCATTATTTTGCTTCAAGTCTCCTGACTTTATTCTCCATAATTACATTACAGTAGGTTACATTTCATGCTCAGAAAACACTCTAATGTTTTCCTGCATTATTTAGTCAGCTTCCAGGACAAGTGTTTTAACAATAGCAAAACAGATGCAGTATCTAAATCACCAGCGTCTAACAAATTTTGGAGGGTGCATAACAAAGTGAATGAGACGTCAGCACTAACCAGCTGTGTCTCCTGCAGTGTTTTTCCCCTTAACATTTCCAGCTATTGTTACTCTCGGTGCAACTCCACCAGTAACAGCAGTAAGGGAATTACTATGTGACATTGTGATAAACAGCCCATCGGTAAGCACCTTGTCTACACCAGTCGAGCCAGGAATAGTAACATAAACCATGTTAGAAAATTGTTCACTTAGAATGGAAGAAGCCAACAGCAGTTTCAAGGAAACTTGTATTTTGATGATCCTATCCTAATATAGCACCCTTTACACATTGTATCTTGAGTGATGATAATGTAAGTATTCTGCTTTCACTTTTTAAGTAAGAGCAAACACTTCAGATCAAACAGACCATCAGAAATGGAACTTTTACCCATTTTTTTAATGCTTGTAGAGATGGGAAAAATTCTAACAGAGGTGTCATGCAATGTGCCTGTAAGCCCTACTCAGGAATGCTCAGGATGCAACTATCACCCTCTGTGAAATAGAACAGTATTCAATTAACCACAAGAGCACTATTGTAGGTATTTCTTGAAAAGTGAAATAGTAGTAACAACCACAAGGGAAAATACAAAGAAACAGGAAGCTGTGACAGTAAAGAGCATGCCAAAGATTATACAAATGAAGCCATTTACTTTTCACTGAGCTTTTTCTGTAGACAAGATACAACTTACTCTGTATGTGTGTGAAGGCATGGCATTCTCAATGCAGTTTTTCTGGCTCCTCAACCATGACAGTGCAGTAGTATACAAGAAGCATCACAGCTATCATTAATCTCACAGTTTTTCCCCTGAGGCCGCAGCATAAGCACACTCCATCTTATTCCCTGGTTCTGGTTCTCCAGTCATCCAGGCCAGAGACACTTAAAGAGAACCAATGCCTGACCATCTCTGCCTGCACTTCTAGGTGTCCTTCCAGTGCTAACTGGACATGATGAGGCTCCCAAAAATCTGATCCTGATACCATGTCATGATCTTGAGCCCATCAGTTTTCAGAGTTGGGAAGCAGCTCAATTACTTAAACAAAGGCAAATTGATTTAAGCTTCACTGTAGTAGTAGCTCACATGCACGTTCTTATGCCCTCCCACTACATAGTCAGTGTAAGGTATTTTTCATATTTCTGTTTTCTCTGCTAGCAAATAACTTATATTTTTGCAAGTAGATGTGATCTATGCAGGGCATGGAGATCACAGATGTAAAACTATAGAAGTCATGTATCAATACCTGAGGAAGTGCCAGTCTGAAAGGTAATCAGGAGAACTACCAAACACTTTGCCACAAACAAGCTACCAGATGCTAATAACCTAACACCACCCCATCAGCTATTACAGTCATGTAAATGCCAAGTCTTCAGAGCACAATACAAACAATGTTAGTCAGGGGTATGATATGTGATTGGCAACATGAGGCCATAAAAATTGCCAGGCTTATTCACAATTATATTTGCAAAGCTGGATTACTTCTGTTGTAGCTGGATCATCTGGGGTGACAGCACAGGAATAAACTGGCAGCCAAAGCACCATTTTGCCTGTAGAGTTGAAACCACAGATGGGATACCAAGCTTTAACAGCAGGGCTCTCCAGCTGAAGGCCTACATGGCACCATTGGGAAGCTTCCCATGTACGGGGCTTACTGAACAGATGACCAGATAATGCTGTTGCAGAAATCAAGCAAACAGGGCAACGGTGAGTTTAAAAACTAAAGGTGTGATCCAAAGCTCTCCCTGTTTCAGAAGCGAGTAAGCTGTTCTGTTCCTCTTAAGCCTGTGCTACAGGCTGGTTCATGTTCCAGGAAGCTGCCTGTCAATGTTCCAGGTGGGATACAGAGCCCTGAGGATACAGTGCCACTGAAATGGCCAGTCTACCCCTTTTACCTTTGTGGCATCTTTAAGAAGTCTGTTAAGAAGCTTGTTCCATAATATATCAAATGGATTAGGGCAAACAAAGACACTGCATAAGCTCAAAGGAAAAGTTTCTACATGAAACTCATCTATATAAATTTCCCAAGCCCATTTAAATTAAACCAATGCATAAATGTTAAGATTATATAACTTGGAGAAACCTGCTATAAAATAGTATTTATACTGAATGACAAAGACTGTCAGGAGTAAAGCTGATATGCAACTTCATCTCACCATTATTGGATAAAATTTTTGCATAGCATAAACAAATTTTGTACACCTCAGAGAAAAAGCCATAAAATTTAGATTTAGGTGCCCAGCAGAGAAGAGTATAATTTATAGAAAGCAAGCAATCTCTCTAAGAAATACAGTACTAAATCATAAGTTAAATTAAATCATAAAAGATAGAGCTCAGATCATCTCTCACTTGACAAAAAAATAGGTAAAACTCACAGGAGAATTGGAGACTTGTTTTCAATGCTCAGCAGTTCTCACACTGCCATTTGGATACATTTCAGATAAGCATTAGGGCTTCTAGATTCTAATCCAAACTGAAACTCCAAGAGTTTATTAGGTTTATATGTCACATGCAACCCATGAAGTATGTTACTTCCTTAGCAAATGAGCCTATTATGATTACAACTGAATAATTCAGAAACCTAAATTGGCAAAAAAAAGGTGCACTTTTATCATGTTCTCACAAGAACTGTTGGAAAACTGCTGTGACATCAGAAGTACCAACACTGACATTTGTTTTTACTCCAAAGTGATAAAAAAGCCAATACTGCATGGAAAAAAAAAAAAGTATTTGAAAAATATAAATCAAAATACTCAGTAAGGTAAAACAGCATATGAGAATGCTAAATAGTACAGTAACTAGATAAAATATTTTACATAAATGAACTGATTTCGAAATGGCAGAAGTTTGAAACGAAAGATTTTGACAAGATGAAATACGAAAATCAAAATACTTCATGTAGATTTCTTTCTTTTACACTATCAAGATAACACAGCTCCCTAAAATGCTCGATTTTCAACAGATATTTTAAAAAAATCTGAATCTTCCAGTAGCAAAACTGCTCTGATGCAAAATCCTCTTTCAGATCTAGTTGTCAGCCATAAGGCCTTGTAGCAAGATCATCAATCACATAAGCTCTAAATAAAAATATTTCCTAGGGGACATGCAAGGAAGTTCCTGATGCAGTAGTCAGCAAAGACTACTTCAGATCACACGAGACTACAGAAAAAAAGGCCTGAAGAGACTGGCAAGTCCCAGGTAAGGCAGTCACTTCTAATAACAAACTGCATTAAGCTTCACACAGAGAAAGCACAATGAAACAAGGTTAAACATGATCTGCTGAAAGGAATCCACAAATGCAAATGTAAAACAGAGATGCAGGCAAAGCAGATGTATCCAATTGCTTTTAAGAATGTAATAAACATTATATACATGCTTACATTATTTCTGTAGCTGTAAAAAGTAGTAAAAGCTTTTAACTACTACATCACACAGAACCACCACTTTACAGAGATTATAATTTGGGAGCCTTAGGGTGGCTTGATGAGAAGAACTTGCCATGTTAACAATTACCATGCTGCACACAGAGTAACACTTAAAGGTCTACCACCAAATCCTTCAGGTTTTGCTCAAAAAACGTTTTCTCAGACATATTCCTTGGCATCAGTAAAACATACAGTCTCACTGTACTGCAAGACTGGAGAGCATGATTTCTAATCTTACAGCTTGTTTCCTAAAACTCCCCTATTTTCATAAGGGCAAATAAAACATTTTCTAAAAACAGCTGTTCCCCACTTCATCAAACGTTAAGTCCCAAATAAGCAAGCAAGACTACATTCACTATTCAGATTCTGACCATCATTACTACCATAAAGCAGGAGGGACCTTGACAGGCTTCAGAGGTGGGCTGATGCCAACTTTATTAAGTTCAATAAGGCCAAGTACAAGGTCCTGCAGCTGGGTTGGGGCAATCCGAAGCACAGTTACAGATTGGGCAGATAATGGATTGAGAACAGACCAGAGGAAAAGGACTTGGGGGTCTTAGTTGCTAAGAAGCTCCATACAAGAGGGCAATGTGTGCTTGCAGCCCAGAAAGCCAACCATGTCCTGGGCTGCATCAAAACAAGTGTGAACAGGAGGTCGAGGGAAGTGATTCTGCCCCTCTGCTCCACTTTCATGAGACCTCATCTGGAGTATTGTGTCCAGTTCTGGAGCCCCCAACACAGAAAGGACATGGAGCTCTTGAAGCAAGTCCAGAGGAGGGCCAGGAAGATGACCAGAGGGCCGGAGCACCTTTCCCATGAGGACAAACTGAGAGAGTTGGGCTGTCCAGCCTGGTGAAGAGAAGGTTCCAAGGAGACCTTATGCTGAATTTCCAGTACCTGACGTAGCTACAGGAAAGCTGGGGAGGGACTAGATTCCTATACCAGCCACTGAAATCCTGGAGGAGCTGAAGTAAAATTTCTCCTGAACCTTGTTACTTCTTAAAGTTTCAAGGTAGCTGAAAACAAAATCATTGTTTTCTCTGTGCCATCAGTAGTACAGTAGCAACTCTTATTAAATGCAGAAAGGATACATAGAGATGCATCTAGCTTGAACTTTACACTTTTCATGAGTTCTCAGACATCAGAATTGGAGAAATCATACAAGCTTCATTTCATGCCATGCACAATAATTTTCCCCTTTTAAAAGCTGGACAGCCTATCTCCAGCTGTTGAATCCTGATATAAAGCACTATTTCATTAATGTTTTAATACTCAACCTGCCCTAGTACTTTTAAAAATAAACTTTTCCAAATTTTTTTCATCTAATGCTAAGACAATATTATAACCACTACTTAAGCAAGAATTTTGGTTAAAAAACCTGAAAACTGACCACTCTTCAGCTATCTAGCACTAAGAGGGGATTTTGAGTTTTAATTCCTATGAGGCATTAAGTATCAGTCACTATATTTAACGCCATCCTGCTTTTATTTCAATATAAGAAATGATCACATAGAGATTGCTTTGCATGAGTAACAAGTGGAATCAAATCCAATTTTATAATTTCCAAGTCAACAAGTTAACTCCATAATCTTACCAATGAAGTATGGAGAGCTCTTTGCCTGTTAGTAATGACAAAAAGCTAAAATTAATATGTAATTACAAACAGAAAAGAAAAAATAGCACTTGCCTCTGTAAACTAGACTCAGGTAAACAGCCTGCAAAACACTTTTTAAACCAAAGATCATAGGGGAGTTTGCTCATTGCAGCACATGCTTTCAGATGCACCAGGAGTCTGTTGTCTTCAATGTTCAAATACTGCTCCAGAAATTTTGGCTGAGAAAGGAATTGGAAAATTTTAGACAACTCTCATCAGAGTATCCTCCATTGTTAACACACTGTAAGACAAAAAGAGTCTGAAAACTAAAAAAATAAATAAAATAGCACATTAAAATAACAAACTTGCATTATATATTTTAACTAAAAACATACTGTTCCAAAATACAAATGTTGCTGATTTTTGCAAGTAGCTAATTAAGTATTTTAATAAACAAACAACCCCAGGTTTCTTAAATTGCTGACCACTACAGAACTTCCAAAATATGCAGTACTCCCTAATGAAAGGAGGTGTTTAAGAGCTTCAGGCAATGTAGAGAGTAAACCAGCATTAATTACTTTACTGCTACCATCATAAGTAAAATTGAGTTTCATTCACCTCAAACCTAATCACCTCAGCACACGTGAAAAAAATAATAATAATCTACACACAGTGCAGCAAACCCCTGATAATCAATTCTGACAGTAAATCCCTGTGCAATATATTAAAAGCTGAACATTGATTTCTTGTTTGAAAGTCCAAAGTATTTAGCAAAGCCAATAGAACAGCATTAGACAGAGCTGAAAAATTAATTCATCATTCTCATTTTGTTTAAATTCTAATATAACACAAGATATGTTTCCATAAATTCAGGAGTGCCTTTGTAATTTTTATTAGGTAAATGATAGGTAACAACAACATAATTAGGTAAACAGGTAACAACTTCAGCTGTCAAAAGACAAAAAACACTTTCTTTGTCTGTGTTCCAACAGCTGGAGTCTTGGTACAATGTTCATATTAAAACACAAACTTGTGAGGGAGACACTTGGCACTTACTATGTGCATGTGAGCACAAACTTTCTTTAAAAACGCTCCTCTACCCTTCAAAAAGAATTACAGAACCTGGTGAAATTTCAGGTATCACTTCCAGCAATAGGAGGTAGGCTTAAAAAGTATTTCTCAGTTCCAAAGAATAACAAAGGATGCAGGTATTTTTCTGCAACAAATTTTCATTGTGATTGCCAGTGAACAGGTACTAGGATACTTACATCTGAGTGGGTATTACTAACTAAAAGGTTTTTTATCTGTTAAGACTATTTGAAGAATTGCAAAAGCTTTTTTAATAATAAAGCAAATTTATTGTTCTTCACAATAACATTTTTATGTTATAAACCTGTGAGACAGAAGTTCAGAATTAATATTCTATGAAAGCACTTAAATGTTCAGTGCCAAAAGAATGCTATTCCACTTTTTACTATCTCTTAACCTGCAATGTAATGTTTTTCTGAAGACTAAGCACTCTGCTGCATTTATAAAGCAAAGCAACTGTGCTTTGTCTGTTACTCCGTAAGAAGCATATGGATGCCAGAGATGCAGCCTAGAAAGTAGCAAGCCTCCATCAGGATCTTCTTGACTTCGTGACAGGTTCAACTGTTTACAATAAAGAAAATTCTTAAGTGACCGATTTTTGAGAAATACCATTCAGCTAGATACAATGTAAGCTCTAGCTAACCTGCAAAGAACTTAAGATGTAATTGAAGACTACCATGTAGCAAACAAAAACAATTTCTAATGTTACATTAGATAAAATGCCCTACAGGCTGGTACAATCACAATACAAAAGCACTCTTCCTGTTTTCTCAAAACAGTTGCTGGAACAGATTCCAAGGGCATCACCTCTGATGCTCCAGTTGTCTCCATATATTAATGCTTTCCATTACTTCCTCTTCTCTCCTTCATAGCTCTCCTCACAAAAAAAGAAAAAAAAGAAAAAAAAGAAAAAAGTATTTTTTCCTTACCAATTGTTGTAATGAATCTTTGTGCTTGCTGTTCAGCTGATTCACAAAGCAGCTGACAAGCCAATAGCATTCTATAGGATCCTCCACCATTTCCTCCATTGCTTTAGCAATAGCAAGAAACACTTCATCTTCAGGCTCCTGGAAAACAATGCCATAAAAGTTAACTACAAAGAAATACTGGATTATCTGATTTAAATTATGATTACATTCCTTTTCCCTGCTATTGGGGAAAACAAACTGGAATCAACATACAGAAAGAGCTGTTCTGACATTCCTAAGTGAAACACTGCAGCAGCTGAATTATGGTGACAGATACCTGTTAAAATAGAAAAAATAAGACTCGTCTTGCTTTTAAAATCAAAACATAAAACAGGAGTTTGGAACAACTCTGATTCAAAGTTCTCAAAAGAGATAATATCACATCCTAACAAGGCAGCAATAATCCTACTTCTATGCTCCCACGTTTATACTGCATAGCAGCAGAATTTTTCACCATATTCCTTGCCAAAGGCCAAACAGGTCCCTCAAACACCTTTGTAATTGATGACAAAAAGAAAATGCAGACATGAGCTCTGTGTCTACCTTCAATATACAGAAAATCTTTTGGTTTGAGATAAACACCTTCCTAGACACAAATACTTTTCCCAGGTGATGAGTACCTTATTTCCCACCAACACATTAAGCATGTGATGGGCACACCACCATCTTTTCTCCAGAGGATAGAGAGGCAACTCAGGAAATCTTTAAGCAGGGGAGATGAACAAGGGAAGGCTCCAGATTTGCCCTGTTTCTTGCAATCTTCCTTATGCAGACAGTATTGACTACATTAGGAGGCAGGGTAACAAGCCAGGCATGTATCCACAGACTGATCTACTGTAACCATCAGTAGCTTACTGCTACATTATCACAGTCTGCTAAATGACTCAAATATTTAAAAATATTTAGACCAGTCCAACACCATCTTTATACTCCCACTGCCTCCAGAACAAAATATGTACTTGACTATCATGCAATAACCTTGTATAAGATTCAGGGGACAGTGACTGCATTGAAAACAGGCTGGCAGATAAAGAGAGCAAATGTTTTTCACAGCAAAACAAACATAAGTTACAGGACTAGTAACTGTGGATCTGCTAAACACCACCACTATTCAACCACAGAACACTAGTGAGAGCAGCTAATGTCCTGAGATGCACTGACAAAACACTTGCTCAGAAAGCGATACTGCTCTAGAAGGAATGAATTCTCAGCCCACTAGCTGATATGCCAAGAAATTTAAATCAAGAAAATTACTACTCTATAGGAAACTTGCAGGGAAGGATGGCCACATTCCTAGGCGATGAATGGCAAGGGCACAGAAACACTCTCCCTCTCTGACAAGAGAATGCTCTATACTATCATCCAGTCCAAAAACATTTTATTCTCCAAAATTTCCAAAAAGCTTTGTTTAACTCTTTTTAACTTTTCTTTTTTTTAAGTTCTGATGTCAAATTTCATTATTACATATGAAAAATAACAAAGTAAGCAGGGTTAGAGTGAACATGCTTAAATTAAATACAGGATAGAAACCACTTCAGAATGTCCCATGGCTCCTTCCATCACCTTCTCTTTCAGAGAGCTTTATACGTAAGATCCACATATTGTTTCTATCATTACATTCTAGACTTGCCATTAAAACAGACTTGTTTACCACAGAGTACAGGCATTACCTGACAGAAGCCTGGATAAGTTCAGACTAATAGAAAAAGGTCAGTACATTAAAGTCTAGATTTAAAAACAAATACTTTATGATGCAATTTGCAATAAATTGCTGCTTATACTGGCTCTAAATTATCCCTGTTCCAGAACATTTAAGAAACTATGAGCTCTAATATGATTATGTCATTTTGATTTCAGTGCTATAAAGAAAATGAAGTGTACTAGAGTACAAAAGGCCTGAAGCCTAACAGGCAATGTACAGAAAAGAGACTTTAGAGCATAAAATCTTAAGTAAGTACTTATGGGAAGACAAAGAGAAAAGCAATGAAATGTCTTATTTTATACTAGCACTTATTTTTAATTCACCTTACTTCATCTGTGTATATACATTTGTGGGGCTACTTGCAGTTTCTCACAGGTTTACAGTCCCAAGTTAAATAAAATACTATATTTAAAAGACTGTTAAAATGACAACTGACCAATGGAAAAGCAGAGTTTCGAGGCAATTTTCCTGATTCCAGCTGATGTATACGGAGGAAAACATCTACCTGTGGAGTAGAATCATTAATAAAACGAATTACACAAAGAGCATGGTGTATATCCCAGTACTGCTCCTGCCGGTACTTCATCACCAAAGCATGGGATTCATGGTGAGGAGGAATAATTCCTAAGAAAAATAAAAAATAAAAAGAACAGAAAAGAAAGATTAGCAACTGTAAAGAGGAAAAGCAGCAGCCAAACTCTCTTCCCAACAGATTCACCTTAATTCAATTCCTACTATAACTCCAGCCTACAGTAAAGCAGGATCTGGCACTGCAGTTTGCTTATAAACTTGGTCAAATAAAACAAATAGAAAAACCCACAAAAGTGGAAGTCAGTGCACCAAAAAAGCACTTTAGCATTAGATCTATTAAAAATAAAATAAAATTAGATGTTAAGTGAGTATAGGAAAAATCTACTCTTGGACTATTGTTTCTCAAGCTCCTCTACAAGACTTTCAGCAAATGAATGCTCTTTTGTATACCACATAATGATGCTGTTAAGAAATGTCATTGTTGGGATAAATGGGAAATAATAGGTGTACTCTTCCATTCCAATAAGCTTTAATTTTAAATTGTGAATCTTAATTTTTTACTCCTATTCATAGTTTTTAATACAGTACTAGTTGCATATTTATACCCAGCTTCCATTTACTTTGAAAAGAAAGTGGATGCAGAATGATTTTTGCATACATCAGCTGTTCATGTTCTCAAATTCTACACTTTGTCTGAGATGGCCAGAGAATATATACAGGCAATTAACTAATGCAAAGATACTGTACATTCCAGTAATATTTAATTCACAGTTAAATCTCTGCCAGAAAATTCTTTACTCACTGTATTATAGAAATTAATCTTCTCTAAAATAACATTCAGAAGCAAAATCAATCACATAGGTTGAATTAGTTCCAGATTAAAACTGAAGAATACCACACAAATACTTTGAAAAGTGGCATTTTTACTTTCTTAGCACAACACAAATATTTTTCTGGTTTCCTAGGAGGAAAAATTAAAAAAGGAAAAAAAACCAACTACGTAGTGAGGCAGAGAAAAATAAACCTTTTACAATCTCCAAACATGATGCTCAATGTTTCACTCCCCTTTTCCTTCCCCTCACTCAAGACTCAATCTTGCCATGCACTGATGTTCACAACAAAACTGTCACAGGCTTCAACTTACATACAGCAAAGCAAAAATAGGCCACTTCCATATCGCTAGTTGAGCAGAACCTTCTTCATTGTAGAAACCCATGAGAACAAACTATTCTTTAAAAAGTCAGTTCAGAAACAGGCTACCTGCTGCTTTTTAAAGAAAAAAAAATAGTCCTGCCAACTGTTAAACCATGAACTGGCTGAGTTTTAGTAACAAGCATAACAGGCAGAAAATTATATTTTATTTTCCAACTGCAAACCTGTCTGCATTTCAAAAAGCTGGGACAGAGCAAGACATTTTTCACATTATGCAGAAACAGAGTCAACATCATGATTTTGTATGTACATACTGCCAGCTGCCTTCCTCAAACACAGAAGACTACCTTAGGCAGACAGAAAAGAAGTTTATACAGAGGGATTTCTAGAAACCATCATGAGTCATACCTGAACTGGAAGTTAACAGAGACGTTGCTGATAATGTGTAACCTTTGACAGCAAGGAGCCTTAGCTCATGTCTAAGATAATTTTTCTGACAGGATAGAAACTCTTCTGTGAAACTATTAACATTATTTAGAGGAGATATAATACCTC